ATATCATGTCATTAGCACCTCTAGTAAAATATTTACTTAGAAAAATGTTGACGTGTTCAATACTTATTTTACCCGCTGTACCTGTATGAGGTATCAGGTGTACTTACTATGTAAAATTGACATTCACACTGAATCAGAATCAGAATTTTATTACACATAACACCACACATTGCTGCTCAGACTGTTGTTCTGATTGATACAGCCCATTACAGCATACAGTGACCACAGCCGGGCCAAAATCACAACAAACACTAAAGCAAAGAAAAACTGTCTGTAGTCCCCTGTTCAACGTCCTGTAATCCACTTTGATTAATAAAATCTAAACAAAAGGAACAGTTCTGCTGAGAACGACTTTGACAAATAAGTCCTTAAATCTTTTAGGCGAAAAGGTTTGAAAAGGAACTAAAATAGCAGTATCTTCAACATATTTTCAATGATTGCTGTTGATTATCTTTAATCAACGAGCAGCTGAGCTGACTTTTTATGTGAAGAGATCTGCTCAATTTCTTCTATGGGGTCACATCAGTTTAGTAMTTAGGTCCTACAATGAGGATCAAGATTGTTTTCAGACTACCAAACACATGCAGATGAAAACAAACCTGTGCCGAGACCACCTTGATGGTGTGAGAATATATTCAAAGCACAATTAGGAAGTTCAAACCTGTATTTAGCAATATCCTATCACATTTAGATAGCTACAAATAATGTGAAGAAATTTTAAACCACTGATCTGAACAACCTTTCAGACAACATGGGGTTACATGACTGTTAACAATATAAAAATATAGAAACAAAGTATCTCATTTTCCTTTTTGTTTTGTATAAACAGTATGATTTGTAATAAAACAGATGGTACTGTATGTTTGACTGTTACCTAATGTTGCTTTTCTGGAGCTATGTCTCATCAGTTTCTGATGTGGATTAAGATGTAGAACAACAACTCTGAGACCAGTGGAGTTCATGAAGAGCCTGCTGAGAGCTCATGAGTTCTGATATGTGTCTGTTTGTGTATCCATCCATCTTTGTAAGGCTCATCAGGAGACAGTGAGGACTGTGCCATTGGCTCCCACGGYCTGCGGGTCCCCACTCAGAAATCCTACTCATCAAGTGAAACTCTCAGGGCCTTTGACCAGCACCAAGATCAGACAAGGTGAGAAGTTTACCTCAAAATCATTTGGTTTGATCACTGSAAAGATGATGATTATTATTTTTTTATTACAATGTCCTTTCTGTGTAGTTGCCTTTGAGGTGAGTATTTCATTTAATCAGTGGTGGGCACCAACCCGCTTAAGCACAAATCCGCTAATTTCGGACCTAAATATTTAATTTGCTCTTTAGAAGTCTTACTAATTTTTATAATTCATAAGCAGATTTGTGCTTTCTAATATTAAAATGCAGTAATGCTAATAACTAATTATCTACCAGTCATCATTATCTTGAACAGCAGAAGGTATGGCTGTCAATGAATCACAACATGTGATCTATCCAACAGCACC